TATAAGACGGATAAATCCAGGGGCATGTGACTCTTGATCTTGGGGTCGTGAGTTCAAGCCCCACATTGGACATAGAGATTACTCAAATATCCTCCCCCCCGCAAAAAAAATCCAGGGTGGCTCAGTTGGTTAAGCATCTGCCTTCGGCTCAGTTCATGATCCCAGGGTCCTGGGATCAAGCCCTGCATCAGGCTCCCTGCTCAGCAGGAAGCCTGCTTCTTCCTCTCCTTCTCTCTGCTGCTCCCCCTGCTTCTGTGCGTGCATTGTCTCTCTCTCTCTCTCTGGCAAATAAATATAAGTAAAAGGTTTAAAAAAACAAAAACAAAACCCAACTTTTTTTTTTTTTTTAAAGTAATTTCCGTACCCAGTGTGGGCTTTGAACTCATGACCGAGATCAAGAGTTGCATGCTCTACCAACTGAGTCAGCCAGGTGCCCCCAAATCCAACTTCTTACCTGGACACAACACAAACAGGACGGAATGAATATGCATATGGATGCTCTGCGGAAGCAAAGATGGTAGCTTGTTTTCTTTATATGATGATAAAGTGGCACTCATTGAGGAATAAGTTAATTGTTAGGGTTTTTAATGTGAGCAAGGCAGAACACTCAATGAGCAGGTTAAAAAAAAAAAAGTTGAGTGCTAGCCAGCTGATGGTTACTTTTTTTTTTCTGATAAAATTTTATTTGCAGTAGATCTATATAAATGCTTTATCACAGAACATAAAGATTAGCTGTAGTTTCCATTTTCCATTGGTATATTTCTGGGTTTTCTCATTTTTGGAAAGGTTTACTTTTATCTCTGACTGAAATAAACATCTGTTTAACAGTTACAATGAATGAACTGTTGGTTGTGCTTATTGCTAAAATCACTACTGCCTTTGATTTATAATAAAAGATTTCTCCAGAAATCAAAATTAATACAAGATCCATGTTAATTTCTGGAAATGAATTGCTTTTAAGTATTATTTAAGAAAATGTTTGATGACTTCTTGTAATATTCATAAAATATTTTACTTTTCTTCTTTGAAGCTGTAATTTTGAGTATATTAGAGCTTTAGATTACTTAGAAATTATCTAATTTGTAATCTTGGTGTGAAAGGAAAAAAGTGGTATAATTTAGTTTGTATTACCATGCTGTGAAAGTTTAATGAGGTTTTTGTCAAGAAGAAATCTATAGGGGCGCCTGGGTGGTTCAGTCATTCAGTGTCTGCCTTGCCTTTGCCGTCCTGGGATTGAGACTGCATTGAGCCCGCATCAGGCTCTTTGCTCAGTGGGAAGCCTGCTCTTCTTCCCCTGCTTGTGTTCTTTCTCTCACTCTGTCTCTCTCTGTGGAAAAAATAAAATCTCCAAAAAAAAAAAAAAAAAAAAAAAAAGAGAAATCTTTAGGGGTGCCCGGGTCTCTCAGTCGGTTAAGCAGCTGCCTTCGGCTCATGATCCCAGCATCCTGGGGCTTATTGAGCCCCATGTGGGCTCCCTGCTCAGAGGGGAGTATGCTTCTCTCTCTCCCTCTGCCCCTCCCCTCCGCTCATGCTCTCTTTCTCTCAAATAAATAAGTCTATAAAACTTCAAAAACTAAATTTTGTCTCAGCGTGCAATATCCAATAGGAGTTATCTTGTATTCAGTTAATATAGGACATAATAAATGGGATGATTTGTATTTGAGTTATAGTAATGCCCTAACTTGTTTAAAAAAAACAAGCTGGTATACATTATTTCTGATTTTATTAAGGAAATCAGGCTGAATATGTAGATCATCTGATTTTGTTATTCAGGACTCTTGGTTGCTGGTGACAAACTGCTTGAGAGCTTAAGTAAAAGAAGGTATGGCTTTATTGGCAGGATACTGGAGCAGTTCATATAATTGAAGAACTGTGACAGCCAGATAGAGGACTTGGAATTGGGGGTACAGTGTCTTAATTATTCTAGTTTGGCATCTTGCTGGGCTTTGCTCTGATTTCTCTCAGGCTTCTCCTGGCTCCTGGTGAAGAGAGTCTCTTCTTCCTTTTGGTGACTCAGTAATATTTTCCACTGTGCCCCTTCACCAAAAGAAATAGTAATATTTCCATTTATTAAGTAGTTTGGACCAAACAGCTTAAGTATTTATTTCCTAACAATTTAGCTACTTGAAAAATTAATATATATGATTTGAAAGAAAACATTTTAATTTTAATATGTGTGCCTTTTGGGTACTATACAAATTCTCAAACCTTGGAATCAGGTATTCCAGCTTTTTTTCCTTTTTGGCACTGATTTTTATATGATACTTGGGTTTTATCATAGCAACTTGCTTAAAACCCCCGTTTCTTAAGTATTGAATTTTTTTGAGCTACTTTTGAAATTATGAATGACCTCAGATCGTTGTTTGGTTCACATACGTCAGTTACTGCCATTTCCCTCAAGAAACTTAAGATTCCCTGTAGTGCCCCTGTGAATTTACTGTGGTACCCTCAAGGTGCCTTAGCACACAGGTTGGAAACCATGATTCTAGAAGAAGAAGAGGGATTTTTTTTTTTTTTTTTTTAAGGTAATCTCTATGCCCAGTGGAGATTGGGCTCAAGACCCTGAGATAAAGAGTTGCATGTTTACCTACTGAGCCAGCCAAGCGCAAAAGGAGAAAGATTCTGTTTTTCTTCTTGGATCATGTGGTTGAGGGAATAGGCTATAATTTGGTCAACCTGGGTGTGATCGATATTCACCCATTCCTCTGCTTACAAGAGCATGGTATTCCATTGTATGGGTATATCAATTTACCTGTTTACACTTGTTTCAAAATTGCAGGGCATAAATTAACATCTTGTGTATCTGTGTATATTTCCATAGCACAGAGTCTATTAAGTCCCATCTAATACTTAAACTATAAAAAACTTATGGATTTGAAAGCATGATATTTGTGATTTCATAATTATCTGGGTAATTGAGAATCAAAGACCTAAATTTAAGAGCTAAAACTGTAACTATAATACTCTTGCTGAGGAGGAAGCCCGATGCGGGGCTCGATTCCGGAACCCAGAGATCATGACCTGAGATGCTTAACCTAGTGAGCCACCCAGGAGCCCCTGCTTAAAACATCCTTAACAGTTGGTCTCAGTTGCCCATTAATATGAGGTTATACTAGGGGTGCCTGGGTGGCTCAGTGGGTTAAAGCCTTTGTCTTCAGCTCAGGGTCCTGGGATCTAGCCCCGCATTGGGCTCTCTGCTTAGTGGGGAGCCTGCTTCCTCCTCTCTGCCTACCTGTGATCTCTGTCTAATAAATAAATAAAATCTTTAAAAAAAAATATGAGGTTATACTTGTAGTGATAGCGTTTTCTCTCCCTGTTCTTGTTGTCACTGTAAAACAAAAACAAAAACAGCATTATTAAAAAAAAGAAAATTGGCTTTGTTTTTTCTAAGGACCATGCCCAATATTATTACCAGTGCTATAGAGTTAGCTATTCATGTGGATGCAGTACCATTCAGATTCTTTGCCAGTTATCAGAAATTGTTATATATATACAATTGAAAAATTATATTGGCTTCAAATTGGAAGGAACTATGTAGTCTCACTGATTTGTGAACCCGTCTGCTCTTCCTTTGTTAATTCAGGAAAAGTTGAGAAAAGGACAGAGAAGGAATTCAGTTTTCAGGGGAGAAGCAAAATTACTACACAAGGAATGGAATGTAAAAAGGGTTTTCTAGGAGTGGCTTGATCATAAGAACTCCTGCTTTTTTTGATGGCTTCAAAGAAGTCAAAGAGGATTAAAGCCACTTCCCTCTTGCTGTCACTTTTATATTCCATATCCTTGTCTTGAAGCAGTGTTTTTTTATCTTTACAAAAACCATTATTTTATACATATGTGGCATTATTTTTTTTTCAAAAGTGACATTTTTATTAATACCAGTTCAGGACTGATATTGCAGCTATTACCAAGTTCTTAGTCACTTCAAGAAATCTTTATGTGTTAGTCAGACAACATTATACCATTAATTATGATCGCGTATTACCTATTTTTAGCTTAATGTTGGAACATGAAAGTAGAGAGTACCTCGCCTATAGCATTATCACCTACAGCTATTTAATTGTTTATGAGAAAATTTTTTATGATTTATCCCCAACCCTTAAAGAGAGATAAATATTATTTCATTAACTAATCAAAGCATTTTGAGTAGCTCTTGAGGGAACTTGCAAACTATGTGTGTTTTGAGGGAGACAGAGAAAGAGGGAAGGAGGGAGAAGAATTTGGAAAAGGTGGAGAAGTAGAATTTGGTAAAAGATAATAAATGCTAAATCGTGTGTACCTGCAAAAATGCAGTAAAAGCTTAGTGGTCTAAAATACTAGAAGAGCTCTGATGATCTGTTTCATAGTAAAAAGTCCAGTCTGTGTATAGGAAACAACATAAACAATGGCAAGGAATTTGGAATGAATATAGAATGTCCTAGAGGGGAAGAGTAAGACCCTCATTTGAGGCAGACCTGGTTGTTTGAGAGAAAAGGGCCTCATTTTGGGAAGACCTTATTGTTGAGATGGATGCATTAGATCTTGACAACTATAATGATTGGTACCCTGAGAGTTCATGTGTTGATTGTGCGTAAAGAATAGCACAGTTAATTTTGCTTGGCTCACTCAGTTAAGTGATTTCTTCTTAAGTGTCAAATGGCTACTAGAATTTTTGCTTCAGAAAATCACATACTGCTTTTTTATTTTGAACTTTGAAAGTTTATAATGCATATGAAAGTTAAAATGCATATTGGAAATAAGGCCATTATAAGGCCTTATTCTATATGAAGACAGGCAGGTAGAATTGTTGGATTTATGCTAAGAACTAGAATATAGAGTCTTTAAATGGACATGGGTGCTAAATAGAAGGCCATGGTTTATTTCTTGTATTTACCTAAATTATGGTTTGTTTGTTTTTTTAATTCAGAAGGTAGTTATTGAGCATGTTTCTTGTCCTTGTCAGAATTCATTTGATTTGAAGATACTTATGCAGTAACTCTTCTAATGTCATCTCCATTTTACAGATGAGGAAACTTCGTGAACTTCCCAGACTGACACAAGTAAGTTTAGAGTCAAATTCCTATCTAGAATAGTCTGATTCTAGAATCTGTGATCTTACCTAATAAGCTATATTGTAGTGTCTCTCATTAATACATAGTCTAAGGTCATTGGGTTCCACTGTTAAGTAGTAAAATGACGTTACATATGAAATCATAATCTGTCTAATAGAATATACAGAAATGTAAATAATCATAATGACATTTGGTATTCTAAAATAGAGCTATATTTATATTGAAAGTGCACATGAACTTTGCAGGGAAGCTTTCACAGTGAAAGCTTTGTTTTCAAGGAAGAATTGAAGGATACATAGTATTTAATCAGATAGTTAAAGCAGTATGAGTAAATTAGGCGGAAGTAATAGCAGTGACAAAAACTCATGGGTGAAAAATTTGAAAGCACCTTCAAGTTCGTTTTGGATATAAATGTCATAGGGCATATTTTTTTGAGCAAGGATGTTTCAGTGAAACTTCTGTTGATCGGATTGGATTTGTCAGGTGATGTTAAAAGAACCAGTTCTTTTGTGACTTCATTTGTAATTGGTTGTTTTGTTTCTTAGGTAACTAAGGTCTACATAAATTTAATTTAAATGTTTGAGAATCAGTTAGCTAGACCAAATGGTGGTGATACTAGCCTCATGGAATGGAAATATGGAAATTGAGCATTTCAGGAAGAGCAGTAGGAGATTGCATCAGATTTTGTTATTGGAAATGGTCAAATGATTGCTAGCCTTGAAGTCCTAGGCCTACCAAGATTTTCAGTGGAGTATTAAGAAAGAAGGAATGGTGCAGGGAGGGGATGGAGGCTGATGATAGATTTTTGTTAAGGATATGTAGAGTTAGGATATGTGCTCTAGTGACAGTTCAGAGGAGACCTTGTACCCTGTGGTACTGTGCTAGTAATAGTCGCTGGGGTTGGGGAAGGTGCGGGAACTCTGGTGGTAGCAGAAACCTTAGGTTTATCTTTTGTGTGGGGGAAGGACGAGTCACTCTTGTTACATGTGGCCCTGGTCAGGTCTGCTTATGAATGGGTTCAGACTTTTAATGAAAAGATGTCTTATGAAGAAAAATGAGAGAATAAAGCATCTTGAAGAAAGATAGTTACGTAATAATTTCTATATATGAAGGATTTATAGTAGCATATCGTATCACCTAGACCTCTCATTAATACATTACCTGCATTATTTTTTTCAACATCTGTATGCTAAATGGGAATGCATCTTAGAATCAGTGGCATGTTATAGTTGGAGTTTTTTTCTTCGGGGTGTGTAAGTTTAATAGTGTGCTTTGAATTTAATGGCATCAGAGTCAACAAAATTTTCTTCAGTGCAGAATTTTTTTTTCCCGTGCATAAATACATTTTTTTAAGGTATTCATATTCCATTTAAGTCGTCTCAAATATCCTAATGGCCTGTATACCACTTAATGAAAACACTGGTAATTGAAAATATAACTGTATGCTGTAGAATGTAGGGTTTGGGTTAAATATTGAGGGTGTAAATCAATAGAAAAGAAAAAAGATAAGCTCTAAGGTCCTCTGTTTCTTTGCATTTTAGCATATGTAAGTGGCCTGATTGAAAACAGTAGTACACAATGGGTTGTTTAGTCATAGGCCTGCTATTTACCAGAGAGCTATATAAACACATTATTCTTTGTGCCTTTTTGAGACATTGGTTCTTCTGACTATTTTCAGGTTGGAAAATGCAAGAAACTGAGTGGTGCTGATGGACCTTGGAGGTGTGATGTTATTTTTAATAGTTATGTCCACACGCTTATTGGAAACTTGAGAATTTGAATTATTTGTGTGAATTGTTTTTTCCTTTTTTCCTTTTTTAAGATTTTTTAAATGTATTTGACAGAAAGTGACACAGTGAGAGAGGGAACACAAGCAGGGGGCAGTGGGAGATGGAGAAGCAGGCTTCTCACAGAGCGGGGAGCCTGATGTGGGACTCGATCCTAAGACCCTGAGATCATGACCTGAGCCGAAGGAGGACGCTTAACGACTGAGCCACCCAGGCGCCCGGATTGTTTTTTTCATGTTGAATTGAATAGTACTTAAGTTTGTGATGTATAAGCAATATACTTGGAATATTCCATAATTTGTACAGAATAGGTTTACAGTAGGTTGTATGTTTGAGAAGTTTTTCATCTTGTTTTAGAGAATATTTTACCTATATTTTAATATGTTTATTATAAATAGAAGTTATTTAAGCCAGTATGCTTTTTTATAACTCCCTGCTCCCCATTAATGGGTTAAGCAAAATGATAGTTTAAGGATTTTTATCTTCAGTATGAAGCCATGACTTGAGTTTTTAGAGTGGTTATTTTAAGTGTAGTTACTTAAAACCAAAAAGGGAGAAATCTCTTTTGCTTAAGAGCTCATTTCTTATTAGTCTGGAGTACTTTTGCCCTTCTTTTGTTTAAAGCATGTCCATGATGGGGTGCCTTGGTGGCTTAGTGGGTTAAGCCTCTGCTTTTGGCTCAGGGCATGATCCTCAGGGTCCTGAGATTGAGTCCCTCATTGGGCGCTCTGCTTAGCAGGGAGCCTGCTTCCCCCTCTCTCTCTGCCTGGCTCTCTGCCTACTTGTGATCTCTCTCTCTTTCTCTCTCTGTCAAATAAATAAATAAATAAAATAAAATCCTTAAAAAAAATGTTGATGAATTCTACTTTTTGACTTTAACTGAAAGGTTTTTTTCTTCCTGTATTTATTTGGATGGCAGTGACTTGTTGTTCTCTGTTTACATGAGATAAATGTTACTAGTTTAAAAGTGTGGGTCTTGGGGCACCTGGGTGGTTCGGTGGGTTAAAGCCTCTGTCTTCAGCTCGGGTCATGATCTCAGGGTCCTGGGATTGAGCCCTGCATTAGGCTCTCTGCTCAGTGGGGAGTCTGTTTCCCTTCCTCTCTCTCTCTGCCTGACTCTCTGCCTGCTTGTGATCTCTGTCAAATAAATAAAAATCTTAAAAAAAAAAAATTGAGGGTCTTTCTCTGGGGGTTCTGTTGAATTGTCTTAAAAGGATGGTCTTAAGAAGATGGTGTTCTAGTCATGATCCCAGGGTCCTGGGATCGAGCCCCGCATCGGGCTCTCTGCTCTGCAGGGAGACTGCTTCTTTCCCGCTCTGCCTGCCTCTCTGCCTACTTGTGATCTCTATCTGTCAAATAAATAAATAAATAAAATCTTGAAAAAAAAAAAAAAAAGATGGTTTTCTGGTCTTTTCGCTATTTAGTAATTGAGAACAGCTTCAAAAGGGTAGGTATTTGGGGCACCTGGGTAGCTTAGTGGGTTAAAACCTCTGCCTTTGGCTCAGGTCATGATATGAGGATCCTGGGATGGAGCCCCGAATCGGGCTCTCGGCGGGGAGCCTGCTTCCTCCCCCCCCTCCCCTGTCTCTGCCTGCCTCTCTGCCTACTTGTGATCTCTGTCTGGCAAGTAAATAAATAAAATCTTAAAAAAAAGGGGGGGTAGGTATTTGACCTTGCCATTTAAAACACAGCCTGCGTTGTAGTGTGTGGTTACTGGAGGCTGTTTGGGTTTTTATTGGCTTGCCTTCAAAAATATGAGTAGCCCCCTACCTAATTGCCAGGATATTAATTTTAACTAGGCCGGTAGAAGAGTAGATTCTTTTCATTGCACATAACCTTTATAATTTGAATTTTGTTTCTCTCCTCTTGGGTGTACCTTTTGGCTAGCGGGAATTGGACAGTTTTTAATTGTGAATACAGCAGCTAAAAATTCAAACCTGTTTCTTCATTAAGTTGTATGCCTAAAAGATGGATTTGCATTTTCATTCAGCTTTCTGTTCTTTGTCCATTTTTAAAAAAAGATTTTCTTTCTTTATTAGTTTAAGAGAGCTCGTGCATGAGTCAGGGGAGGGGCAGAGGGAAAGAGAGAAGCAGACTCCCCACTGAACAGGGAGCCCACCTTAGGGCTTCTTCCCAGGGCCCTGAGATCATGACCTGAGCCCAAGGCAGATGCTTAACTGACTGAGCCAACCAGGCAGTCCTTGCTCCTTATCCATTTTGATGCTTGTTACTCTACATAAAACTGAGTGGAAAGAACCAGAGCTTTGGACAGTCTGTTTATAGACTGGGAGAGGAATATTAACATTCCTAAATATAATATTAAAATACTAATAAGCAATACGCAGATTAGCTGGGTTTGGAATAATGATTAGGTTTTTTTTTGAAGAATGTAGTTTACTACATTTTTCCTGGAATTGGCGTTAAACATCTCAAGTACTTAGGCAAAACAGGAAAATCATGCTCATTTACACAGGGGCACACTGTTGAGTTCCCATGGTAAATTGACCTTCAAATTATGTTGTTTGTCTTTCTAGAAAAGAAACTTCTTATGCAGCCGTGAGTGGGGAGGATTGGTGTAAAAAGGGTGGGGTTTGGAGATTCTGTTTTTGTTCCTTTAGGGCAGGGCCCTGAGGAAAGCGTATTAGAATAAGATGGGTAAATCTGCAAGTTTCAAAATGACATTGGTGTGTTGAATTTTGCCTGTGTTTTAGTTGCCTTTTTTTAAATTTCATTTTTGTTTTTTTGCTGCCTGTCTCATTTGATTAGTTTTCTTTCTTTCTTTCTTTCTTTCTTTCTTTCTTTTTTTTTTTTTTTTTAAGATTTTATTTATTTGACAGACAGATCACAAGCAGGCAGAGGTCAGGGCGGGGTGTGGGGGGAAGCAGGCTCCCGGCTGAGCAGAGAGCTGGATGCAGAGCTTGATCCCAGGACCCTGAGATTCTGACCTGAGCCGAAGGCAGAGACTTCAACCCACTGAGCCACCTAGGCACCCCTAGTTTTCTTTTTCTATTGAGTATGTAAGAAACAGGAATTGATAATTTAAGCATTTATTTATTTTCAAAGATTTTATTTATTTATTTGACAGAGAGAGACAGCCAGAGAGGGGACACAAGCAAGGGAAGTGGGAGAGGGAGAAGCAGGATTCCTGCGGAGCAGGGAGCCCGATTTGGGGCTCGATCCCAGGACTCTGGGAGCACGACT